AAAATAAATTACTAAAATTAGATTAAATTTAAAAATAAATGAAACAGAGATTTAAATTGTGTAATCTGATTTGTAATTAGGGTGGAGAATGGGCCAAACCAGGCTGGGCTTTGCCAGGCCTATACCCAGGCCCAAAAAAAATTTTGGGCCCAAACCCGGCCTAGAAAAAAAAAACCCCCAGAATAATGGGCCGGGCCAGGCCTTAGGCCCAGCCTGACCTGGCCCAGCCCGGCTCAACCCAGTCTAATAAAACTTCTAAATATTTAATTTTAGACTAACAATAGTCTATATAGCCATTTTTTATAGCATTATCTTGTCCTAACTATTTTTATTTTTAGAAGATATTATGATGATATATTTATTCCAAGTCTTTTCATAATTTATACATAAAAGATCCTGAATTATATTGATAGCAATTACTAAAATTATAGTATTAATTAAAAGATTAATCCAATAATCCCTAAAAGAGATTTATTAAAGGACCATTATTACTAAACTGTTGGGGTTGCACAATATATAGTGTAATTGCGGGTTTTTACATGGCTATTGCAAAATTTATATAACCGTTGTGGTTTTATATACTATTGTGGGTTTTACATATTTATTGCGGGTTGGGTTTTACATATCTATTATGGGTTTTATCAAAAATTATTGCAGATTTTAACCTGTTATAAAAAAAATTAAGTACGTAATGCTTCTTGATTAATTAACTTTTTTTATTGATGCAAATTTTGCTTATCAGTCAGACACTTCTTTCTGCATTCAGTACTATATTTGAAATTCCAGAGTCTACAATGTATTATCTTGCTGAACGTATTACCGGTATGTAAATCATGTTGAATAAAATATCATCATCAAACCAACCTTGTTTTTATCTAAATTCTATTTTAATAAACAACCTTTTTTCCCAATTACTGTCCAGGTGAGCGATATTATGGATAAATTCAGAATAGAAACAATAACGTTTCGTAACAGCAGAAGCTTGCAGAAGTTTGAACAGGAGGAAACATACTCGATCCAAAGTGAATCCCACACATGGTGTAATAAATTAAAACTAATATAAAAAATTTTAGTTTTAATTTATCACAATTGATCACACCATGTATAGGATTCACTTTGGATCAGGTACGTTTCCTCCTGTTAGGAGTTTGTCGTGAAAAACTTGGCAAGTTTAACCATGCAAGAAAAATTAATGAATTACTCAATATGTATTACAATGATTACGTAATGATATATATTTTTAATGAAAATCACAAGACTTAGTAATATATTTTTTCCTCTTTCATCAAATTAGATGGAATTATAATATAATCACGGTAAAATTACTATAATTTATAACAGCCTTTTGAATGTAAAGTATTTTCTGAAGTTAAATACCAAAACTGTTATATCTGCGGCATCTTTATTTCAACTTTTATCATTATAAAATATCGGGCATATAAAATAGTCTTATCATTACTGTTTTTGAATTAATACAGTAATAGAATTTTATGAATACAATGAAGCTTTAATATATTTCTATTTAGAGATGTGTGAATGCATATTTTTTTAGCTTCGCATTGCATAATGCAGCATAATGCTAGCATGCAACATTATGCAATCATGGTGTTCTACCAAAATCAAGAAGACGATTCATATCCAATCTTTCTTATCTTCAGACAGAAGCTTACTATTTTATGATATTTAGCCTGCTTTATACAGGTAGAAAATCACTAACTGATGCTACATATCACTTAGTATTATATATGATATAAAATATAATATTTTATTAATTTTTGTTGCATTAAAATTATATAGTAATTTCTATATGCACTTTTAAATTTTAAAATGTCTACATTACATTATGTGACATTATGTTTTGCATAATGTAAGGCACATAATGCAAAATGCCCATCTCTATTTCCATTGCAAGAACAATAGTAAAATGCGGGTTCATAAGATTTATAAAATCCTATAATTCGAAAACAGCAATGGCGCTTTATATAATCTAATGCGTGTAAGCCTAATGCAAGCAGTGTTAAAAATTCACTGTGCATAAATGCAAGATAATGTATGTCATATGATAACTAGAAGCTGACTTATGTTTTCTTAAGTTGTTATAAATAATGCACTGTTAGAATTGTAGAAGTCAATGTGCATAGAGTAAGAGAGAACGTACGTACATGCGTACTTTAAAAAGAGTCAAGAAAAGGTTCAAAATTAAAAAAATTTTCCCTTTGCAAGATAGGTCAGAATTAATAGAAAATGAACTACGGTATAACAATTGATATATTAAAGAGACTGTTTTTTTTTTGTATTCTAAATTAAACTTATGAGATTGTTCTAATAATTAGAAAGTGCTAGTCCTATTGTCAGTGAAAGTGAAAATAAAAGCCCAGAAATAGTCGCTATTAATGAAAGTACCGAAATAACCATTGTTAATAATAATGCCGAAATAACCACCATTAATGAAAGTGCTGAAATAACCGCTATTAATGAAAGTGCCAAAATAACCACTATTAATGAAAGTGCCGAAATAATCGCTATTGATGAAAATGTTGAAAAGACTACCACTGATGAAAGTTCTGAAACTACTAGTAATAAAAAACGTAAAACAAATGAGTTGTGGGTTTTTAAAGAAGGTCATTTTAAGCATGATCCTAAAAATAGTAAATATTCATGTAAATATTATTCTATAAAGTAGTTAATATTTATGGTATATAATTTATCAGAAAATTATGCTAAATGTGCATATTGTAAAAGTGCTCTAAAATATGATAATACGACAGGAACTAGGTCATTAATTTGTCACCTAAAAAACACAAAATGTAGCATATATCTTAAAAATAACAAATCACAACAAATGTTACAGCTTTCTTCGTTAGGCCTTACTACTTACAAATTTTCCCAAGAAAGAAGCCGTCAAGATTTGATTAAGATGATTATAATGCATGCATACCCGTTCCGTATAGTTGAACACGAAGGATTTCTAACCTTTGTTAACAACTTGCAACCACAATTTAAGATCATAAGTAAGAAAATGGTGCGCAAAGATTCTCAAAAAGTTGTCGAAGACTTTAAATTGAAAGTCCGTATAGCAATTCAAGAAGCACAGGGAAACCTAAGTTATACAACAGATTTATGGACGTCGAACCAAACTCTCGGATATATAGCCGTTACATGCCATTTCATTGATAATAATTGGGAGCTTCAAAAATTCGTTATAGCCTTCAAACTAATTCCTGCACCGCATACTGGAATTGCTATTAGTGAACTGCTTTTTAAATGCAGTCGGGGATATTACCAAATATAGACATCGATTCTAGAACAATCTGTAGGATTTTGATTGGCTCCCAATTAATGATTGTTTCACTTTTTTTACTTTTTTGTCATGAAGCAAATAAATTTTGTAACACTAGACTACTACTAATAATTATTCAAATTAAAAGTAGAGCGCTTCTAGTCTTATAATCAATCAACATCTTCCCGTAATCAACTTGGTTTAAAAAAGTAAATGAAAACCAAAGACTTACGAATTTGCATGTTTAAGTTGTAATTTTAATGCTAAAATACAGAAATACTAACGTTTTTACAGTATTCTATACTAGGATCTAACAATGTCGCAACCCGTAAGACCAAAAGCTGCAGATCTCCCTTGTATATTCAGTGGTCTAGTTGGTACTTACCATAAAACACTCGATCTAGAGATTTGTGAAACAAAAGAAAGGCAAATTTGGCGTCATGCTGACACTCAAAAAACAGCTAAGCAGCTTCCATTGTATCATGTTTTTATACCTGAGCTCACAGATCTTCATCCTTTTTTAAGCTCTTACTCGATCTGCGAAAAACATTATAATCAAGTTATAGCTGCTAATCATTTTTATCAGTGGCTTTTAGATCATACACACAAAAACAAGAAATCTCGAATCGATACTAATTTTTCAGACGATTCGGTTTCTATTTATAATTCTAGTGTTCATGAGGAGAGCGATAGTTCTATTGTTCAAGAAGTTTATAATTCCAGCATTCATAAAGAAGTTTATGACTCAAGTATTCATGAAGAAATAATTAATAGTGACGAGTCATATATGTTAGAGGATTTTGAACAAGCCAAAGAAATGTTGGAAAATCTAGATCAAAAAAATAAAAAGCGTATAACAAGTCTTGTTAGTGAAGTTATGAAATTACGGCAGCAAGTAACAGATCAGGAACGGGAAATCTTAGATCTAAAGAGTCAGATAAATGAATGTCAAGAAGAAATACTTCAAATAAAGGGTCTATATCGAAAGCTTTATGAGGAGAATGAAAAACTTACTAATCAATGGAATTTTCGATTTTGTAATCAACATAGACGTATACAAGCGGTTACTGAGATTGCACTACTTGAACGGGAATCCTTATACAAAGATATCGAACTTATTATTAAAGACAATAATAGATTTTCTTTAGAAAATCTATTAAATTACACTCCGGAAGCATGGCTAAGTTAACGCAATCAGGTTATTGTAAAGTTTATTGAAGCATTAACTCAGAATAATCTTAATTCAGATCCCTTAAATTCCGAAAAACTGCCATGACTGTCGACTTAATATACGGGTCTAGACACAAAAAATATGTGTCGGAAATGAGTCTTGTGGCGTCAGCCATAAAATACTCTATTGCAAGATCAAAAACTATAATTAATATCGATGGCCATATTACTAATTCAGGATCTTACACTCGTTTTCAGAATTGGTTGAGTGAATTGTCTGAAGAATAAGAACTGTTACCTAAAGGGTTTTTGTTTGTGGCATTTGATAACGAACAACGGGGCAAAAAAATTATCTTGACCGAGGATCCAACACCGTGATATTTCACATTGTTACCAATTTTGCTGCATTTAATATGGAGCCACAAAATTATGCTCAACATACGGATGTACCTTGGATATCTCATTCTCTTGAGAAGTCACACTACGAAAGCCTATTTGATATTACATCTGAAATGCAGGAAGTGATAAATAAAGAATTGCATGCTTATATTTCTGAAATCATTAATTTATTATGTCAGGAAAAATTATCTACAAGTAACAATATTGATTCTCTTATTGACAATCTAGGATCAAATAACCGTTGCAACAAACAATGTCCTAATTGTAAAGAATCGAATATTGAAAATCGAAATAAGTTTGTCTAAAATGTAAAGCTCGCCTACCTACTTTGTCAGAATTGCCGAAACAGAATTTTTGTGAATTGGAGAAAGATATAACAGATCGACCAATTATGTTTAAGCCTTACGTCGTTAAAAAGGCAGATAGCTTACCTACTGTACCAAAAATTAGTATTACTCAGAAATCGGTTGTTGACCAAGGAGTTAATATTCCAGAACTATATATACCCGACCCTCTTAATATTAACTCTAACACTATCGCGAATGTCGAAAAAGTTCTTCTCTATATTGAACAAATAGCAGGAATTAAAGATGGGATTCGTAAATGGGTGGCTGTGACATGTGATGGTGTTCCATATCATTATATAATTAAAGTAAAAGCTAAATATCCGTGGCTTGTTCTCATTCCTGGGCAATTGCACAAAGAAATGAATATGCTTCGAGCATATGTGGAGTTGAATTGGTAAATAAATTCCTTTTTTTTTCAAAAAAAATTTTTCACTAACATATTTTTCAATTATTTATAAAGGAATATCGATCTCAAATCGTTTGCGATATGTCAAGGATATAAAACTGAAGGTCAACTTGCTTATTTCAGAAAATGTCATGACCATCACAAATCGTGGGACTCGGTCTGCAATATTTATCATCAAGCAATGGCCATGGAACTGGTGTGGTTATACGTTAAAAATAATTTAAATCCATCGGTAGAGGGATATTTGGTCTGGAAAAAAGAACAGAAAGACCCACTCTATTAAATAAAATTTGAACAGATAAAATTTTAATTTGATTGAAGTTTGTTTTTTAAAAATATACAACAGAAAAATGTTAAACGTTCTAACGAGTCCAACAGAGATTGGAACCTTTAAGAAAATCTTCACCCAGGTCTTATTTAATTACCTTAATTATCTGGGTAATTTATTATATATTCCAAGTAGTCGTATAATACCACTTTTTACCTATAGAGTCACTGCAAATATTATCTGAACCTCCTGCATTCCTAGGTCTTAAAAATTGATTAATATCTATTATTCAATTCGACGGTGATGGTACTTCAACAAGGGATATGATTGATTAAAAATCATGATATTACTTGTGCATATTTAAGAGCAAGATATTCAGGTAAAGCATCACTGTGCGATTATAATTTTCAATAATCTAGAATTTTAGAATTTCATATATAGCTATTTGTATTCATTATTATAGAGTAACTTCCCAAATAAATCAATCTCAAACACTAATTCAATATATTTATTAATAGGGATTCGAATTTGTTTTATAAACAAAAATATGAAGATGCAGACTATCTATTTCAACAAAATTATGCCAATTGTCTAGAACTTACCATTGATAAAACAAAAAAAAACCAGTAAAGTACTCGAGCACTAATTGTCATCGATATCGCACCAAGAAAAATGCTATCAGTTTAATCAACATGAAGCCGATTTGAAATCTTCGTATCATATTGGATTTATTAACTCCGAATTATTTTATCTCTAAATATCTGTTGTATTATTTTTGATAATACATACATATATTTATTTATTTAACATACTAATTATAAAATTTTATCTTAAATAGATATTTTGCTATCTACAAGCTATTATTAATTATCAGACAGCTATTAGAAGAAATGATATATTATTAAAGAGGGCTGCAAAAAGAGCCTTTTCTCCAATATGGTCGGCACGACGCCATCCCATCTATCGTTTGATAGAAGTTTCAGACGAAGTACAACTAATACAACTTAAGCCGATAGTACAGAATGTTATAGAGAAAAATAGTGTAGTTTCACGGTCAGGACTTTTTAATCAGCATCAAGGGTTGGATGCAATTTTGGAAGAAATAAATAAAATTCTAAAAACATTAATACCTCCTGTTCCACAAATGCGTCATTGGAAAGTTGCAGCAAGGAACTGCAAGAAATTTCTTCAGGTAATAATATCAATAACGTTTATTTATATATTCGAATAAATTAACTTATAACTATTAAAAATTTAGTTGCGGACCAATTTTTTTAAATCAATTGGATACAATGACCTTCAGATGGTTGGCCCAAGGAATCACTCAGAACCAATTACAGAATGCCAAAGGTTTCGAGCCCACGTTAGAAAAAGTAAATTTGTAGATCCAGCAAATTCGAAAACCGTTCTTAAAAATTTGTATAGAGAATATGAATTAAGCACACAATTGACAAATTTCACTAGCTTGGCAAAGCAGGCTCGACAGGAATATATTATTAACGATTTTTATAACAATAATTCAACTACTCTCTTTAGGCCAATTCCAATTACCAAAGAGGAAGAACTTGCGCAAGAAAACGAAGCAAATATGACCAAATCAGAAATAATTTGTAAAATAGAAGCTTTTCTTGAGAAGATGGGTGAAAATATTCAAAAAAAATATCGCGGAATAAAGTCTAAGAAGCACAGCGAACTACTAACTATATTGGAGGAGGTAAGATTATTATTCAATTCAGAAAGTGAAAATGACAACGATTGTGTTGCTACGGCAGAAGAATGAAACAGATATTCACTTGTATATTTCGCTAGGTTAGTGATATTTTTTTTATTATTATTTAAAAAAAAAAATTATACAATTATTATTATTTGAATATTACAATAAATAAATAAAATTAAATAAAATAATAAATTTTGAAATTATTGCATGTATCGTCCATAATTCATCGGTAGTAATTACAATCCCTTTGATAATGAATGAGGGTCTTATGTTCGTATTTTTAAATTTCTATCACCTCCCATATCGGCTACTTGACTGTTCTTAGACTCTATAAGAATAAAATAAATTAATAAAGTACTAACCCGGAAGAAAATAAGATTTAAAAAAGCATTTACTAACCTTGAGACAGTCAATTCTACTCCAGTACTCTGCACAAATCTTACAATCGTTTCTCTAGTTTTCAGCCAATTTTTGTTCACCACTTTTTTTAAAGCAACACCCTAAAAAAAATCAAGTATTAGATCAGTAATGAAATAATATATATATTTATATATATATCCAGTACTTATCTCTAAAGACGCAAGAACCATTGTTAAAATTGAACTATGGCAGCGACGGCAAATCGGTTCAAAGTAGAGAGGTTTTCAAAAGAAATTCACTCTATTGGACCTAAAAAAATGTAATTAGCAAAAAGTAATTGGAGTAAAAAACAGAAATAAAATAAAGAACTTCTACGCAACTATAACATAGTCTATGGGAAAGCCTCCCGATCAAGATTTGGAAAAGGATAAATCTGTAAAAGAAAAAAAATCAAGCTTTTAGAAAAGATAGTTCGCTTAGTATAAAAAAAGAAATGCTGGTTCTTCAAAATAAAGTTCAAAAACAGCTATTAGTGAAAGGATCGAAAAGAAATACGGTCACAACACTCTAAATGCACTACCCTCGGGATCATTAGTGGAAAAAGTTTAAAATGTAAATTTAGAAAGGGTATGCATTTATATAGAGCAAAATATATAGAGCACTTCTAAGCTGTAACAGTGCATTTAGAGAGGTTTGTATCTATGAAACGTGCATTTATAAAGTTGCGACTTCTGGACTTGGAGTTGCGACGTAAATGCAGAAATAAATACTGGATAATTTGAATCTTAATTTGATTGGTCAATTATTGAATGCGTAGACAAAAATCTAGAATAATCTGATTGTTGATCATTTCCAAATAAGGTGTGATTATCGAGCACCAAATTTGGTAAAATCCCCGACTGAAATGTTTTAGTGATTGGGATATTGTATCAAAAACTTTAGCAATTACTGTAGACAATGCAACCAGTAATGATAATGTAATTAATAATGTAAAAAACAAGCTTGACGAACAAAGCATGCTTATTGCAAATGGAACGTTTCTACACCAATGTTGCTGTGCTCATATTTTGAATCTCATAGTTAGGGATGGCCTTAAAATGGTTAAGAATATTACAAGTAAAGTTCGAGAATGTGCAAAATGGGTTCGCAGTTCACAGCTTCGTCAACAAAACTTTGAGGATGCCATAATCGGATGTAGTTCTGAACTTGTAACTAGTCGACGACCAACCCTTGATGTTCCTTCCCAGTGGAATTCTGTTTATTTAATGTTAGCATCGACCATTTCATATAAAAATATATTTGAGCGTCTTTCATTACGCGATTCTAATTTCGACCAAATTATGCCTTCTGACAGAGACTGGAGAAAGGCCAAGACCCTTTGTGACTTTTTAAAGCCATTTTATGAAGGTAATTATAATTTCTAGTTAAGAATTGGTGTGGTCAAAAAAATAATGACCAGTCAAAATTTATAGTTTATTGATTTTGACTGGTCAAGAAGTCAGTTAAAATAAGGTAGATTAGTCATGTAAAAAAAAAAATTGTCGATAACATGATATACAAGTCATTCAGACTATATTTCTGTATTCGGGCTATTAATTTTATAGTTATAATTCGAAATCTAAAAATATTCATAACTTTTAGATCCCAAATACAAAAAAATATAGTCTGAGTGGCTTGTATATCACATTACTGTCAATTTTTTTTGACATGACCAATCTACCTGTTAAAATCTTATAGCAGTCAACCAATCAAGCATTGGTTTTCTATCAGTACTTATCTAATAACAGTTCATGTGAATAATTTAAAGTTGAGCTTGCTATAATGAAGATATAGGAACGGCCAAAGATAAAATAGTGGCAACTGAATAGTATTTAAAAATTTACTGAAGATGGCAATTCAAAGGATGATTTGTTGCTGAATATACTATCAAAATAGCATAGCACACCTGAAAATAAAACAAAATATGAATGGTATTTAAAATCTGGTAAAGAATAGACACTTAAAAAGACAATTTAAAATGGAAATCTGCTATTAAAATAGCATATATTTTTAGTAGTAATTGAGATCTGCTGGAGGTAGTGATTCGAACAGACAATTTAAAGTTGGAATTTGCTATGAAAAAGATATAAACATAGCCAAGAATGAAAAAAGGCATTTGAGTGTGAGT